TTCGTCCGCATGAGATGAAGCTCAACATGGCAAATGATGTGCTGGCTACCTAAGGGCCGCATGGTGTGTCAGCTGAACTGGCTCTTGGCAGGTGTACTAACCTAACGGTTTGATGTCCCTACCTTACCGACGGGGAGGTAGCTAAGGTAGGTACCTAGGTAGGGAGGTAGACCAGAACCTCGTGTCGTTTCGTTTGAAGCTCGGACGATCCGAACACTGCACTGGGAACGATGGACTGTTTCCAGTTCGGCCCCGCAGTCTGATCCTGCGATGAGCGCGAGAGAACTGCAAGGGTGAAGCTGGATGGAATTCTTTGGCCGCTGAATGAAAGCCGACGATTGCGTTCGACGACAGATATGCTGGTCTCATGCTGCACCGGGATTCCTACCTTACTTACCTTATACCAGTGGATAAGGTACCTGAAAGTCGCCGAGGTACCTGCCTACTTACTGTCTCCTGAGGTCCTAGACAAACTGTTGTCGGCACAAGCATCACTGCCAGAAGAGGCATCAAGTAAGCACAACCCCCCCAGCCAGGAGCTCAAGACGTTGCTCTAGCAGGGGCGACCTGGTGATGACTCAATCAATGCTCGGTATGGGTTCCTGCCGCGCTGCTTCGACAGTCCACTGTCGAAGGTTGTCCTTCAGGCATCTTGCGCCAAGCCTCACTACAGCCTCACCACGACGCCTGGGCATTGTCCGGTAGTTGATTCCAGGTATGGTCGAGATACCTTGGTCTCCTCGAGCGAGTCTAGGCGTTTACGTCTGTGTGTCGTCTCATAGCCAGTGAGCAGCAGCGTGGAGATGGAAGCATCATCGCAAGGGCCTTCCTGTTGTCCTCTAATAGGTACCTTATATAGGTAGGTATATAAGGAACGTGACCCAGGCGCTTTCACGATCCTTCAATTCCTTCAGCCCACCCGTCTCCTGCGTTCTATTCTCGTCCCGCCCTATACTCTTCGTTTCTCGTTCTTCTGCAGGCCGGTCCTCCCACATATTGTAAATACTTTCTTTGCCGCCAGCCCCATTCTACTCCGATCCCGAAGCGCTCAATCGTGGCACACCATTCTCGATCGCTGTCCACATCCACGCCGCCACTGTTCATTCTATCCCAAGGCTCGCCATGTACGTCTCCCAGCTCCTCCTCGCTGTGGCCGCTGCCTCGACTGCCGCTGCCGTCAACATGGCTCCGCGCGAACCGACACCCACCACGGCAGCCGCGCACGTCGCCGGCCGCGACCTCGCAGAGTGCTCGTCCGTCGCCGCCGACGTGCTGCCCCAGCTCACGAGCGCTCCCACGCCCGACTCGGACCTCGCGCGCTTCATCCTGACCGAGCCAGCCATCCTGTCAGCCGAAGACCAGTGCGCCGTGCCGTCCGTCACGGGCTCCATGGCCTCCGAGTTCACCAGCTACGCGAGCGCCCTGCTGGCCTGGCAGGAGGACCACATCGGCGAGTTTCGCAGCCTGTGGCAGGCCTGCAGCGACGTGCCCGGCATCCGCGACCAGGTTGACCTTCCCACGGGCTCCGGCTCGTGCGCCAGCCTCGCGGCCAAGATCACGGGCGTGGCAGAGCCCGCGGCAACGGGTACGTCGGGCAGCGACGGCTCGCCTGCCGCAACGGACGCGTCGGCGTCGCAGTCTGACAATGCCGCGCCGCGTGCATCGGGACGCGCGCTTGTTGGCATCGCGGCGGGTTGTCTCGCCGCTGTTGGTCTGATGTACTAGGCAGCGGGCGGTATTGAGCCAGATGAGTAAATGCGGAGGAAACTGGCCTGGAAGGATTATAGAACGGCCCGGGCGCTTCATTGCAAAGGCAGAACAAACAGGCCCATGTGCCATGTCGTCTAGCCCGTCAAGAGTGAACAAATAAAATATTAGTATTGCGTCAGGCATCTATGGTCATCCATCTCGTTATTGTAGCAGTGCAAACTCCCAGTCAGCTTGGTCACTGCGACTCCCTGTTGTCAAGTCTTTCTTCAACCAACAGGCCCCTTCGGCGGGGCCCCAACCGCTGCCGGTGCATCCTGGGGTGCCGGCGCAGTTCCGCATGCATTCGGCCATGCTTTCTGTCCACAGAGTACGAATATCTACGGCGCCCTGCTGTGATGGGTAATCGACGCCACAAAGCCGTAGGAAACGTATGCTGGAGCCTGGGACGCCGTAGAGGGTGTAATTGGACTCGGGACATATGAGGGAACCGGGACTCGTGGCCGTGGGAAACGCCGCGTCGCTCGATGCTGACGCTGTTGTTGGGTCCGGCGTCGCGGACGCCGTGCTTGCCGACGGCGAGCTGGAGAGTAGTCAGCAGTGCTCTTGTGTCAGGTTGGCCGTAGGCATGTACGCACCTCTCTATCGTCATTGTTCCCAATTCCGTTGTGGCAGACGTCGTCGGTGATGCAGACAACGGGCTCGAAGGTTCAGCCTCGGACGCAGCAGCAGCAGCACTGGTGCCGCCCGACGACATGCCCACGCCTACACCGACGCCTACGCCGGTCAAGACGATGAGCACCAAGGCGACGATGCCCCAGAAAACCCACGCCCTCACCCCGCACATTCGCCGGTTCAACCTCGCCTTCCCCGCCCAGCGACCGAAGCCTGCTTCATCGTCGCTGGGCGTGTCGATGCCAACACCCGTTCGTCGTTTCTCTTGAGGCTCTGGTGTTGGTTCGCGATAGAACGTGTAGCTTTCTCCCTCATCACCGCGGCTGTAGCCAGACGGCGTCGCGCCTTCGGACCAATAGACTTCCGGCGCGCCGTTGCCTTGCGCAGAAGCGGGCGGGTGGTAGAGGGATGTCCGATTGTTACGACGAGCACTCGGACGTGGTTGTACGGGCTTCGGCGTAGATGTCTGGGATGGTGGCTCGCTGCCTACGATGCTGGCAGCCATGTCGGATCGCGGGCCATGGCGGGGGGGAGGCGGGGAGGAGGCGGAGGAAGCGGCGCCTGAGCGCATACAGTTCGATTGGCAGTTCGATTGACGGTTGAAGACAGTGGCGACGCTGGTCGGTCGTGTTTCGTGTTGGTGATCTGTCAATGCTTTGCGGAGAATGGTGCTTCACGGTGATCGGGATGGGAAAAACGCGACTTCTGGGAGGGAAATTAGAGATGAGTCCAATGCAGGCGGACAGGAGCAGGTTTTTGGAACCCAGCACGAGCGGCAGCACTCGCCGTCAAGGTCGTGGCAGACCAGGCATGGCAATCTCGGAACCACAGGCCTCCCTGGACAAACCCCTGTAGCCAAGGCCTCTTTTGGGTGGTCAGCCAGGGCGACGGAGCGTCATCAGTGGACTCTTCCCGTGGCCTTGATCACCGACCTTATTCCCCATCATCGCGGTCTGTCATAGTGCGGAGGCAATGGAGGGCGATGATGAGAGAGGGGATGGCGATATGTTTATGTTTAGAGGCCTCCTCTCCCAGGAACGCGGATCTGCACACAAGCTCTATTGCTTCTTCAGCGGGCAGTGGGACGGGGACCTGCATTCCTGACTTGTGCCGACGGGGTAGGTACCTTACATCCCTAGGTAGGTACATGTGCCTTACATCCCTAGGTACCTAACATGTACCTTCCATCGAATAGACCATATCCCTAGCACACGCGCGTGACACGTGCTCAAGGCGTAATTTGGTGGCTCAGGTTGGAGGCCCAGCACAAGCGGTGCTTACCGTCCCTTCTTGTGCGCGCTAGCCCTAATCAGAAGTGCTAGCCTTCCGGGGGATGTGGCTCATCATCCCCTTTTCATCTCGTGATGGCCTCACCAGTCTCGATACAGGTAAGCAATGCGATGCGCCGGCTTGGTGGACAAGGCTGATGGATTACATGGTACGATGCATCAGAAGCGTGGAGAGATGAGAGACCCTACGTTGCAGCTGGGCCGTCCATCCACCCCGCCGGCAGGGTTCGCAAGGCTTTCCCCAGCCGCTGATCTACTTACTGTATCATCTCGGACGATATGGACCCCCAACCCACGAGTCCCCTAGTGGAGCAACTGCAGCTGTGCGGATACACCGGCGTTGAGCTGAGAAACGGCCCACCGAAAGACCGATGCCCACTCATTGACATATCAACTGTGGAATTTGGTGTCGTCGCTTCAAGGACCTCCATTACCGCCCGCCGCCTGCTCTCGTGATAGCCTCATCCGTCACTGCCATCGTCCCACATCCCCCGCCATGTCGGATCCGAACGAGCGTCCACCGCCTCTGCCCATGCGGCCCTCGGCTTACCAGCCAAGCCTATCGATACCACAAGGCTCAGGACCTCAGTCACCACCGCTGCCCCCAAGACCAGCCGGATATGCCGCACCATGGCCGACATCGCAGCAATTTTTTCCGCCTTCCGTACCACAATACGTCCCTTCACAAGCACATGTCCCGTCGTCTTGGCCTACCTTCAGACAAGCTTCGCAGGCAGGGTCCACGGCGACGGCCTGTCCTCCTGCACTGCCTGCGAGGCCTTGGGCCCCCCCTCCGCCCCTTCATCATACCACGGTTTCGACGAACGTCCCGCACGCCGCGCCAGCCCCCTCCCCTCAGTATCCTAATGCCGTACTCTACGGAGCGAATGTCAACGCTGCTGCCTTTCAGCCTCCTGCGGGCCTCAACATGCCGAACCCGGCAAGTCTTTCAGCCCGTATCAAAACTGGCCTCCAAGATTTCGAGCACATGTTCGCGTCCCTGGCGGTGGGACAAGCATCGCCCATGGTCAGCCCACCAGTGGCTGCGTCGAATTCATTTCCACCATCCAAAGAACAGTCAGCGCCATCCCTAGGCAGCGACTCTCCCTCAAAGCCATTGAATCGATTTCCAACTGTAGGGGTTACAGCCTGTGTTGCGGATCCTACCACGTTCTCTTCAACGTGGTATACCCACGACGATGCGCCCAATTTTCCTGTTTGCTCACGCTGCTTCGAGGACCACATCCGGAATTCTCCATTCGAACCGGACTTCAAGCCACGAGTGTTGGATAGAGGCTGGCCCAGTGGGTGCAAGTTCAGCAAACCAAGGGTCAAAGACGAGCTGTTCAAGCGCGCCGTGGCTGGCGGGTCTCTCTCGCTGCTGGTTGACTTCATGAAGTTGCGCCCAACGATCCCGGACTGTAGGGGTGTGACGGGTGCTTTAGGATCTGAAGGTATCCGATGGTTCCGCCTGAAAGATCAAGCCATCCCCGAGATGGTTGTCTGCCAAGCATGTTACGAAGACCATGTGAATGCCCGTCTCTGGGCGGACAAGTTTGCACCTTCAACTACCCAGCCACCCGACGCGCAGTGGGCATGCGATATGGCTGTTGAACACATCCAGCACGAGTACCGCTATCGAGCAGACATGGATGATTACCCAAACTTCGTCCATGAAGTAAAACGTCGACTGTACATGCCAGCTTGCGAAAAGAAGCTCGTCGTGCTTGCGCTGCACACATGGTACGCTCCAGTCAATGGGCCTAGACAAGTTCTCGTCTGCGAGACCTGTTACTACGACAAAATTGTACACACTGGCGAGGAGGGCAGGTGGCGCAGGGTCGGCAACATGCCAGCGGGCTACGGTAGTCAAGTCCATTGCGCCCTTGGCCATTTCAATGTCCGTATCGCATGGGGTCGGAGCGAAGATTGTCAGGATTACTCCATCTTCTGGCATGCCCTGCACGAAATCCATCGTCAGCCCAAATGCGACCCGAGCGGTATGCGGGGAGCCAACTGGTATACTCTGTCATCACGACCAGCCAATTTCGAGATCTGCGGTGCTTGCTTCGCCGGCATTGCCGAGCCCGCAGGCCTGTCATCGCACTTTGTTCGAAGGACTGACGTTCCAAGTAATAAGACGCTCGTGTGCGACTTTAGCACCGGCAGCCCGCGCTTCTTAGCCTACATATCCAAAGCGCTCGAGGCCTACTACCTGCGCGATATAAGTCCGCTTGAGACATTTGTGCACGACTACGCAAACATGCCGGTGTGCCGGCGTGACGAGGACTTTGAGAATGGAGTCTGGTACGGCTGGGAGGACTGCACCATTTGTCCGAGCTGCCACCACGAGTTTGTTCGAGGTACCGCCTTGGCATCGAAAATGCCGCTGCAGGGTGTCGTCCGCAAGGGCCACACCATGTGTGAGATGTATAGCCCCAGAATGCGTCGTCTGTATGCGGAAGCGTGCGCACAGTCTCCCCCGAAGGCGGCGGACCTGTTGGCCATTTCGGCCCAGCGCAGGGCAATCTACATCAAAACCATGATGGTCTGTCGCCGTATGTTGATTCAACAGCAGATACAGGCGCTACAAGCGCAGACGCTCGGTATTCAGGGATCATTCTACACGAACATGGGCCATATGCAGTCCATCACGACGCCATCGCCATGGGAGTATAGCATGGCCGGCGTCGGCTACGGCTTCGCGAACCAGAATGAGCTGACGGGTGCTATCTACAACAAACAATCTTCGGAAATGTCGTTGAATGCGATGGGTTCTGCGGCTAACGTCGGACTGCTCGAGCAGCAGTGGAGAGCCGTCGAGTAGCGTGTGCTTCGACCGACCGACGATGAAGTTCAGCGTCGTCTCACCCTGCCTGTTCACCCGGACGCGCCGGGCGCCCCTGACATTGCCACATGTGCAGAACCTGTTCCTGTTTCATCAATATCTATTGCATTTACAATGGGCCTTCCGCCTTGCTCGGGCAGCACCGCCCAGTTTATCCATTGTCGTGGTCGAAGAACATCATCCTGACTAGTGCCCTGGAATAAAGGTCACTGCACATCCCATTGCAAGCTTTGTCTAGCAGCAGTTGAATGCACAGCAGACAGCTTTTCAGGACGTAGTTGCCCGTTTAGAATTGGGCAGAGCAAGCAACGATTCTCCAGATGGTTCCGAGCGGCAAAGGGCATCACATTTACGACGCGGCCAAAGCTTTGACGCTCATGAAGAGAATAGTCCGGTCTGGAGTCTGCTCTTAATCTGGGGTTCTTGGCTTCCGCCTGCCTGACGGATATCTCGTGTAGCTCGGTCCCCGACTTGCTAGGGTCACACAGCCAGCTCTATGGTGCTCAGAACAAGCAAGTCCTGCGAAGGCTGAGTCGCGATCACAACTTAGGAGCCCATGGTGTTTATGCTCGTCGCAATAGGCGCCGAGTTTTGGACGGGACACCATGGACATGAATCAGATTCACTTGCTGCATGACAGCACAGACAGGGTGACCTCGTCCGACGCCATTGATTCTGAGACGGTCTTTCCAGCAAGGCAGCGCCTCAAGGCCAAGGACAAGATTTTCCATTCAACGGCCGCGGCACAGTCCAGATCAAGGACTTCTACGCCAACACGTATGGCAAACTGATCAGAACTTGCGACAACTGTCCCGGCAATGGCAGGCCACGTCACATTACAATTTCGGGATCCATGGGCAAGGGGGGAGGTGAACTCTGTGGCATAAATAGCAACTATGGCGATACATGCCGTGTCAGCAACTCCTGCCAGGACAGCAACCACAGTTGTACCAGGTACGAGGGTAACGACCAGCGTCTCGAGCCTCCGACGCTTGGAAGTGGTCATGATGGTGTGAGCTGCTTCCTCACCAGCTTCTCTAGATGCTGAAAGAGGCGCTTGCGTTCATGTTGTGAATGAACAGCCGGAATGTAAGTATCTTGACGTGGTTCAACAATGTCGTTCAAAGGACCCCTCCTCAAAGCCATAAGTGACTCTGACTGGGGGTTTCGGACTTCTGTCACTCTTCCGCTCCATGCATTGAAACAATGTTCAGCGACTAGTGCTTACGTTTGATAATATCAAACTAACCACGCCTCTCCCCGAGGTTGATACTTTGCCATCCCTCCCTAACTATACACCCCCTTCGTTTCACGAAGCATCTCTTCGACATGGTCGATCTGGCGCATGAAGCCACGCACAGCCTCAACGTGGAAGCTATCCACGCTTTTGAACCGTATCCATCCGTCAAGAGTCATTTGCCCATACTTGCGCGCGTTCGGAATATCGAGTTGTTCAAGGTAGATGCTGGCCAAAATTTCGTGGTACTCATGCATGAGGGGGGTCAACCCTTCAGCTTCGGAAAGGCTTAGAAGCTCTTCGGCATACGTGATAGCATCGCTGAGCTTCCCTTTCTCGTGAGCCTTCCTCATGTTGCCGCGAACCTCGACGATGCGCATCCTCCTGGCATCAGAAATGGCCCTGTCCTCTGGGCTTGACTGACAAAGGGAGCAACGGCAGTGAAACCCGTAGTTATCAAAAAGGTATTTCTTCCGAACTTTGTGCGGCATGCCGAGCGGAGCATCTAAGTGGATTAGCGAGCGATCAAGCCAACGAGAGGGGATATCACACAGTTTATCGTAATTTCTTCGCCTGCATGGATATCGCGGTAGGCAATCACTTGCATGGTCAAAGTTCGCTGCGAGAAGCGGAAGAATGCACTGGGGAGTCAGCGGTTGCTGAATACAGTATCAAGGCCTCTTACTTTGGCTTGCATGCATGGTTCAAGCGCTGGGGAAACGTCAGCATTGCACCGCAAGCGTAGCCTAATTACATACTGAGACTTCCGGGAATAGACCAATGTGAGCTACATTGTCCCCAAGGAAAACGCCACATGTGTTTGTCGTGACAATATCGTACACGGGTGTGAGGGGGTCTGCCCCGTCTGAGCGAGCCAGGTTCACTAGACGTTTCTGAGTGTCTCTTGGCAGCTGTGACAGCGCTCGTCTGAAGAACGTTTCTCGCATCTCTGGTTGCATCTGGCTGGAGAAGTCGCTCGCCACCAGCACGGCAGGGTGGTCGAGCATGAGTATTTCGCCCTGACGAATTGTCCTTTGCGCAATGACTCCCTTGCCTCTGCCAGGAAGATCCTTGACAGCGTACGATGGGCCTTTGTCTGTGACGACTGGACCAGGCGTAAAGATCCGCCGCTCCCAGTCCCATGAGTCTTCCATGTCCTCCAGAGCGCCGGAGGCCACAATATCTGCCGCAATCTCTGGCGAAGTAGTAATACTCAGCCCATGGTTACCACGGAACGTGTGGTGAGCGAAAAGGCAGTAGGCAGCCTTGGCTTGTCCGGACGGCGTGCCCTGCTCGGATCGTGCGTAAACGCAGCTGAGCTCATGAGTCCATGGGTCAACATTGTCGCCAGCCTTCTGAGGATCGCCAAGCGGCAGTGGGCATTCCATCCGTTCCTGTTGCGCCAGTGGTGGTGCGATATGCCAGCGACATTGCGTGGATGTGTTCGACCATGCAATTGTACAAACGACAAGGCCTGTGAGGCCAATGACTGCTTCTTGCCTCATGAAATCGGTAAAGCTGCTAAGAAGATGCAACAAAAATTGCCATTGTTTCTCACCATGTGTACGCGCGATGGCGTGAAATCAGTTGATATACCGAGATGAAGACAGATTCGCGCCAAGCTCAACGTCCTTTTTTGTCACGGCACATGGTGTTCCATACCACCCCACCCCCAACAGGGCATCGTTCCACGGTCCATACTATCGAATGCGGAGTTCAATGCGACAGGAGGTCGTAGTATACATATCCCTGGCGACTAATATTCCCCGAGCGACGAAGACGGACGCGCTGGATTAAGCGCGGAAGACAGTCACGGCTGAGAAGAACCGATATGTTGTAAGGTTCTCCGCCCCCCAATAATCACGTGTGGATCCTGACGTCGCCCGCTCCTCCCTCAGTCACGTCGGCTCTCACGTCGGTGACGTCACATACACTACATTCTAACAACTCGCAAAGACCAGTACAGTCAGGCATCTTTGACTTGCCCGCAACAACGCCAAGCGTGATACCGCATGAATAACGACCCACAATGAAAATCCGCGAGTCCTTCATATCAAGATGCATTCTTAAGGCGATCGCTCAAGATGAATCCGACACAGCGGCGAACAAATCGAGGCTTCATCACCGGGTCATTAGGCTCGTCCTTGCCTTCTTTGCCCTATTCAAGCTTTTCCTAACTCGGTATCGTCGCAATGACTTTGCTTCCTTGCGTGAGGGTGTCTGGAAGCTAGATGAACGCGAGTACCTCGACTCTTTCAGGCCACCACAGACATCAGACGGTGCTGAGGGACAGCAAGTCCAAGGCAAGAAACTGAGACTGAAGCCTGTTGGAGACTTGGGCTATAGCGGCTCGACATTCTTCACGACTCCGAACTCCAAGTATCTCATCAAGTCTCTTCCTCGTCGATTTGAGCACACGTTCTTCACGCACGATCTCTTCGACTCATATGTCGACCACATGCGCAACCATCCCCACAGCCTGCTAGTGCGGATCGCCGACATGGTGTATACACCCCACCCCACGCTCGGTGGCATCATCGGTACGGCACCGACCCATCACATCATCATGGAGAACCTGTTATATGGCAAGCAAGAGAGCGGCGACGATTGGCATGCCATGAAGTGGGAGACGTACGACCTCAAACCCAGCGACTACTTCTTCCCAGAGCGCGACATTGCCGATGGCAATCTGGCTCCTCAGAGTGTCAAAGACAAGCTGGTTGACGAGTTCCCTGACCGCGTCAAGGTCGACGCGAAGAGCAAGAAGGAACTGCTCGACATATTGTCTCTCGACACACAACTCTTGGCCGACAACAATGCCATTGACTACTCCTTGTTCCTTGTTCGATATCCAGGCCCGAACACCACGGATCCGCAACCCGAAGTCGTCAATGTCAAATCTGACGCTGAACTCTGGCGAACGGGCATGACAGATTCGGCTGGCTTATGGACGTATCGGGCGGTGGTCCTTGACTTTTTCTGGGCGAGGCACAAGTTTCATGCCCAGGCCATGACTGGCCTTGTCAAGCTGTTCAATAAGGTTGCTCACAAGGGACCGATGAGCATCACCGCCAATCCGACGGAGTACCGAGAGAGGTTTCTCAACATGGTCGACGCCATTGTTGTGGAGGTTTGATTACGGACTGTCAGTCTTTTCCCTACTTGTCTGATTTACTTGTCTGAGCGAGGCGCTGGTCGGTTCAGGTTCCAAAAACGTATACCCTGTTGCCCGTGCTATCGTAGGTCGTTGACTGGTTGCTTCAATACAAGTATTGCTACTCGCATGTGGACGCATATTGAGCGGGATACAAAAGTTAACTGCGAATTCCGCAGCTGTGGTATGCTATTTTTACAGGCTGACAGGCGTGTGCATGCACCTGCCCGTACCTGGCGGCTCTTATTTTAATGAATGTCCCGCTTGATCATGAACCATTCAACCTTTTCTTCTTGCGCTTGAAAATGAACGAGGGTTCTTCTCACATTTGACGCAACAAGTCCTGCCTTTCCTCCAGCGCTCTTCCTCATTCACCAACCTCGCCAATAATTTCAAACTACCTAACTGCCTTAAATATGCGGTCTCCCCACGTCCTGTTTAGGATCTGGACATAATATCGCTGGAAAGAACCAGAAAGCCTCTGGTGCGCCTCGATCTCCTTGCCCGTTGACGAAGATTATCGACTTGAGGTAGAAAGCGCCTCCTTGGTTCTTTCACCTTGCGGCTCACCAAATCCTCTCTGCATACTCAACATCTAGAATAGTGACCTCTCCACATACACTTACTTCAATCATAGCTAACGTATGGACTCTCTCAGCCGATTGGGCATGACTGCTTCGAAACGCAAGGACGTGAGCTGACACATTGTGTAGAATCTTCCCAAGCTCTTCATCAACAAAGACTCTGACCAACAAGCGAGCCGCACCATCGAACAAACGTTTACTCTGGACGCAATGGCGCAACACAGACCTCCCGAACGCCCCCTTTCACAGTCTTATCGTGCGGCCTTTGTCACTCGGTTCGACACTGATCGCGTAGCTTCCCGCCAGATCCTTGACCATGGCATACAGAATCGCATCGTACATGGCCTTCAGTCCTCAGCCTGTGGCACTCCTCGCTGCACTATGGAAACCCAGCATTTGTGCGAAGAACTCTGTCTTCAGCGCTACTGGGCTGAAGACTTCGTCTCAAGATTTCCCGAACATCGTGGGGAGTTTGCAGCCATGCAACTGATACAGGCTCTACCTATGGGTGTTCGAAAGCCGCACCACATCCAGGTAGGCCCACGCGAGGTCTCTGCTTCGGAGCAGAATCTGAGCCATTCACCTCGTGCAACGCAGTACCCCTCAGCATTTCCTGCTGAAAAGAAGGATGAATCCTATCCACCTCCTTCCGCCACAGAAAGTCCCGTCACCTTGGACAACAATCCACTGCCGGTGCCTCGTTCTCATCATGTTGAGCCGATTGCCGACTTGCTTACCTTCGCAAACGTCGCCAACGAAACGCCGGCACCGTCCCTGGTCACGCCAACCGTCAGCCATGGAGTTGACAGCTTCCCGAAAAAGGACTTGGTTGAACGAGAGCCCAAGGATGCCCTCTATATGGCAGACATCATTCATGTTTCAAGCGAGCGGAAACCCGGCGTGTCCCCCGAACAACCCTTCAAGCCAGCACCGAATATTCCTCTTACATTTCTTGCCCAGCTCAAGGCTGGCGCCTTTGGTCACCAATCCCAGTCGCGCACCGTGATAATCAACAACCTCCCCAGCAATGTTGGCATTGGTCAGGTCCTCGAGCATGTCTGTGGAGGCCGCGTCGTCAAAGCTGTTCTTGTCAGCGTGGCAAGATTCCCTGGGTTGGGAGACATGTCAGCGATAATCAATTTCGAGACGCCCCAGGCAGCGCAGAGGTTCATGCAACTCGCTGCTCGACGAAAATTTGGCTTCAAAACAGCCAATGGTAATCATGTGGAGGCCTCGGTCGTGTCTTCTGGCGTTGCGTCGCACCCCGTCAAGCCTAATGTAGGCAGGTTGCTCGAAATGGGTTGCACCAGATGCCTCCAGGTGCGTGGACTCGACAGCTCCCACATTGGCAGGGTTGTTCAGGCTGTCTGCCTTGGCCGCCCATTACATCACGTTCTTGCTGAATTCAAAGTCCTCGGCGCTCAGGAGGTCGTGCTTGAATTTGCAAGCATTGAATTGGCGACCGCCTGTTTCTTTTTGCTCATCAACGCCAAAACACACGAGGGACAGGTTGATGTCCAGGTGCACCGTTCGATTGACCCTTGCAGTGCCAACGACTTCGATGCATCCAAGACGCCTTTCACAGACTGTCGAACTTTCTCCCATGAGCTCGGCAAACTCATGTCGATTGACAAAGTCCCCCATCTTCTTTCCACGGAATCAGCAGACGGGCTCGATAGTTAGCACTGGCGGCCGACAGGTCGATGACCGTCAGAAGCATGAGATGCGCGAAATTTACGACCTGGCTGGTATGCCGTGGCCCGACGAGGCTCCGCGCGAACGCCACGCCGACCGAGAGCACTCTGATCAATGGCCGAACTGGGAGGGCATCGATCGTGAAGGCAGACCCTGTAGGTTTGAGCGCGACCCTCTCTCTGGCGCCGTGCAGTTTCGTCACTGCGTCGGAAACTCACTGACCGAACCTTCAATGTACAGAGAAGAGAGCTATAAAGAATGGCTCCACTACAATCTCGACACTGAGGACTCCTACGTGCGGGAAAGCCTTGATCTATACTTTGCGGCGGAGGGACTCACCAACATTCGCAAGGTAAATGAATACGTCAAAAAGCGTGAAAGCCAGCAATTAGGAGGATGCACTGGTTTGACTGGTCCTCAAGCACGCGTCCAGTGTGGCAGACGGCGGGGAGTTGTGCAAGCGGCCACTTCAGGCCTCGATGAATTTGACGGATGTGGGAGGCGATTTACGGACAGTTGGTCAAGGGTTGCCCGCGGTTGACCTCAGGCGTTGATCAATAGCAGAACATATGCTCGTTCGGATTTGATTCCTCATATGCTGGTTCATTACTCTTAACGATACAGTCAGCTCATTCCGATAATGCGCTCTGTCCAAAATGCTGCCAACGCCGTATCGCTATGTTCAGTTGCTCAATAATCGTGACACGTCTGACGTCTGAAGTCTGCCGCCGCCCACGAAGTAATTCCTCATCCCAGTCGTACAATATCTCAGCTGAGGCCATTCTGTTACATGGCTTATGAATAGGGGCCGAACGAAGTTTATGCTGTTCCACCAAATTTACTACCCATCAGCATATCCCAGTTCAATGCCGGCTTGCTGGTCGGAGTCTGTTCATCGACAACAAGAAGCTGCTCGTCACCATCGGGACCCATGGCTTCGCGGACTTTCGATTTGATTTTACCAGTTTTTCCGAAGTCGGGTCCGTTGTCATCCCCAGCGAAAGCCTCAGACACGCTTGACCACTTTCTCTGCTGTTTCCATGGCGGCGAGGCTGTGCGTCGTGCAGTGTCGGTGGCTTTGTTCTTGCCAATTTCTGCTTTTCGCTTCAACATAAACTTCCGAGCCAGGTCTTGGGGAATGTTTTCTTCGGGCTCCCATGTAGGATTCTGTCCCTCAGGCCAAGAGCCTTTCCATCGAACAAGGAACATCCGCTGAACGCCGTTCTCTGTATCATGGAGCTTGGTGTCTTCGAGCCGCTTGACTTCATAAACCTCTCCTGATTCATCCTCGGGTTCTGCAGGAGGCACTGGCGGTTTCAACGTTGCCTTTTTGGAATCCTTCGTCGGTGGTTCGGCTGATGAAGCGGCCGGAGACTCCATTACTATTGGTTTGCTGTTGATTGGCAATCTTACAGAGGACTGATAATTGGTGACGCTGGGGGAGTTGATCATCCGGGTCCATGGCGAACTTCGGCGGCCACCCAGCGGCGTGAAACCTGTAAGCGGTGTTGTAGACTGCGTTGTCGATGTTGGAGGGCGAGCGACAGCTGAGGAAACTTGGGTTGAGCTGAGAGATGCGACAGGCTGTGGCCCCATGGCTTCATCTGTTTGCGTGTCACCTACGGCCTCATGAAGGCTTTTGGGTGACTGCGAGACCGACCGGGAGGACATGCCTTGAGTCTGTCTGTTGAAAGCTGTGGTATGATTTGTCGGTGAGTCCGTCGATGAGCTTTGCCCGGACGCACTGACGGGAGGATACTGTAGATCCTGTCGCATCGCGGAGCTCCGAGCGGTTGAGCCACCGGCGCGGCCTGCATCGAGCTCTCGCCAAGGATCCTGTTGTTGCGAATGGGACAGTGAGGATGTCCTTCGCCTTTTTAGTCCAGGTTCAGATCCGCTTGACATTCCTATACCCATCATTGACACCGTAGAGATGGCCGGTGGCGAATACGTCAGAGATTCGCTCTCGCCGGTTGTGTCATCGCCTTCCAATTGTCGTCGAATGGACGCGTCTGTATCGCAAGCGGAGTCGGGACGGCCGTCAGCCTTCATATCCCTAGACGACTCAGTTGGCGCTAAGATCGTGGGCGCACTGTCCCTGGACACCGGCGAAGCACGCTGGTGAATATGCCTGCTGGCCTTCCTCCTTTTGTCCTTCAGTGCTGTGCTAGACTCGGCATGATCCCTGGAGGTGCTCCGGGCTGGTACCTGAAAAGTGCCGTTGCGAAGGTTCATGCCGCGCTCTTTCATCTCTGCCTCTTCAACAAGTTTCACGTTCTCGGCCTCCTCTTCTTTCCTGAGCTCCTCGTCCCTTTCAGTTGCCCTTTTGGTATTCCAGTCCTCGTATGCCCGAGCCGAAACATATTCGTGTATTCTGCCAGCGTCGACACTGATCATGCCAGCCTGCAGGTCCGTCCACCCAACGAGATAATTGATGTGGACTCTGCTGTCTTTGCTGTTTGGCAAGGTCTTGTATTCGTCATAGATATACGCCGTGGTGTCGTGTTTCGGTAGGAGGGTAATGGGAGCGAGACGTCTTCGGCCGGGGTGATAAGCGCGATACGTAGAGCTAATGGCGACAGCGAGTTCCCCGCGCACCATGGATCTCTCTTTTCCGGGCCGGCTCGAGGGCGCACTCGACGTCGGTGCCCGGCTTGGTCTCGACATCGCTGTGCATGTTCCGGCAGGTTTTGTTGTTGAGATCGTCAAGGCTTGGTCGCGCGCCAGTCGCGACACGACGTGCGTGCCTTTTTAGATGGCAAGCTTGATCCGCTCCAGAAGCGTCAGTCACCAATGCATGGTTCTGCTGATCTGGGAGCCAACCTTACAATGGTTTACATCAACACCAAAGGCCGCGACCAAGGTTCGTGTTTTGCCGACGTGCAGGTGGAATGCATGACAGCCTACTTTTAGGGTATGATTAGGAGATGAAGAAAGCATAAAAGAGCGCTAGTAATTAAGCGAGTATTATATTGATAGGCAATCTTATCTAGACGTACTACTCATGAAACTAATCACGGGCTGAAGTATAAGAAGTCTTATAGTCTGATTATAGAAATGACCTTTTAAATAGTAGTAGACTAATAGCTAGTATAACTTGGCGAAATAGTAGGAAGAGTAAGAAGTATACTTCTTAATTATACTTTCCAAGTACTTAGATAGGCCCTATTACTATTAAGATTACTATATGAAATTAACTAAAATTTCTTCTAGAAATTCTTATAATTTAGAAGAAACAAGTAGTATCTAGTTGATATTAAAGTATTATAGTGTATTCTGCCCTAAGATCCATCCTTAATAGTGTAAATGTTCAATGTGTAAATCCTAGGGAACATAGTGGATACCGGCCTAAGCGTGGATTGCTGCGATTGCCAATTAACGCGACCAGCTGCTGAGGAGTTCTCCACCCAAGCTCGACCACACCGCAGCTCCACCTCCAGCTTCTGCATCGAGTCGATCGACTGACATCGGCCAGAACCTCACAACCATCAGCCTTGAGCGTGCCGCGACAACTCAGTTCATCATGTTGACGCCTACAACGACAACGCTGGCATTCCGTCTCGCCAGTCATGCTGCGCCTCGAACCGCCCTCCTGACAACGCTCGCACGTGCGACGCCCGCCTGCCAGTACACCACTACCGCGACGCCCTTCGTCAAACCGCAGGGCATTCTCGCCGCCAGTTCAATCGCTCTCGGCTCCTTTCGCCGCGCCGCGCCATCTGCACCGACTTTGATCCTCTCTCAAATGACATGCCGCCTCCAGTCAACAACTTCAAATGCGGCGCGACCGGTGTCCCCTGAGGCAGGCCAGACCCTTGACTGGAACACATTCTTCAAGCTGCGCAAGACGCGCCGGCGATGGCAACTCGTGTTCAGCGTAACGATGCTCGGCGTTAGCGGCACTGCGGGAGCCATCTTCCTGTCGACCGGTGTGGCAGACCCGGTGCTGTCCCAAATCCCACTCGACCCCTTCGTCACGCTGGGCATCATGGTGCTGGGCTTCGCGGGTCTCGGCTGGCTTGCGGGCCCTAGTCTGGGCTCTACCGTCTTCAACTTGATCAACCGCAAGTGGAAGAAACAGATCACCAACGTAAGTTGACGCCCATCACGATACTGGGGACATTGCTAATGTCTGTTGACTTCATAGAAGGAGATTGAATTCTTCGGTCGTGTCAAGAAGAACCGCGTGGACCCCACCGCTTCGGGCGCTGGCAACCCAGGTTTGTCTTCCCAATTCATTCTCGGATAGACCGTTTTTTTAACGGAGAACCAGTGCCTGATTACTACGGCGAAAACATCTCGAGCGTTGCAGGATATCGCCAGTGGCTCAAGGACCAGCGCGCATTCAACAAGAAGCGCACCAACTTTGTCTAGGGATGGACGATGCCGATGACTAGCTCGACAGCAAGTATTTCCTTTGCATATGGTACTCTGGGATTCAAGTTTTTATGGGCGTTGGCTGCCCTTGCACACGTAACAAAAGGGTGGGCTTGGCAAGGACAACAAAGAATGTATGTACAATCACGGGCACCTCATGTCCCACCAAGTTCCGCTACCCATCATGTGAAGGGTAAGCTAGAGTCTACCTCGTCTTTCCAAGCCCTCATCCCGCCCTTGATATCGCCAATGAATCGCTTCCCATTCCGATCTAACCCCAAGTCTTTGAGCCGACGGGTCGCCAGCTGCGAGTCGTTGCCCACGCGGCACACCACGTAGATCGGGGTATCATCTGAAGAGTTTGCGGGTTGCCATGAGGGTCTTTCCTCGGGTTCTTGCTCCTGAACAGGGTTCTCCTTGAGAAATGTAGCTAACGGCAGGTTGATGGCGCCCTCGATGCTGCAGATATCAAAGTGCTCCTTCTCTCTGACATCCAGAAGAACGCGTACAGCTGAACCCTTCTGTAGCTGGCCAAACTCCGTCGCAGATATCCTTTCTTCTGGCTGCAGAATGTTCAGCGGCGCCGCGACGCCACAAAACTGAACGTAGTCCAAGGACCCTGATTCCAGCGACTCTAGTGTCAGAGACGCCTCGGGCGAACATGCAAAGCAGTCCTTCTTACGACCTCTCATACGGACCGATCGGAATGGGGCACCGGCTGTGCCTGAGAACAGCAGTAGCGACGGCGAAGTGGGCTGAAAGCCAGAGGATATCAGTTTGATGGCCTCCAGCGCCTGCAGCACGCCCATGACACCGACAACGGGGCCCAGGATGCCGCCCTCTCCGCAACTGACGACGCTATCTGGCGGTGGCGGTTTGGGGAAGACGCAGCGGTAGCACGGGCCTCCCTCCTCCACCGGCGCGCCTTGTGGTGCTGCGGGACTGTTGAGCACGATGAGCTGCCCATCAGTCTTGAAGGCTGATGCTGAGACGAGTGGCTTTCGCAGAAGAACGCAAATGTCGGAGATGAGGTATCGAGACGTCGGGTGGTCAGTGCAATCCAGCACAATATCGTACTTTGCGACGATGGACTCGGCGTTTTGAGGGGTTAGATGCGTCATGTGCGCGTTGAGTGTCACGGTTGGGTTGAGACTGGTTCGTCAGTTGTGGTCAGCATTGCGGGAACAGGGCACATACTCTCGTAGGAAGGCCACGGCGCTCTCTACCTTTGATTTCCCAACTCTTGACGTGGCATGAGCTATTTGACGATGCAGATTCGACGTCTCTACTGTGTCGCCATCCACGAGTCCGAGAGTACCAACGCCGGCGCCAGCAAGGTAAGCTGCTGCAGGACATCCTAAGCCTCCGGCGCCAACGACAAGGACCGAAGATGCTTTGAGTCGTATTTGGCCTGTGTACCGCGTGGTCAGTGTTTGCACAGCAATTGTAGCACTCTAGGACAACCGACCCTGAATCCCGACTGTTGTTATTATGAGCTGGCGGCCGTATCGCTCATATTCTCCTGCGGTCAGCGGCCACTTCCATGTCGTATCAGGCGTTGGCTTTTGCTGTCCATCTGCCTCGGCGACTGCTTGAGCAAGCTCATTCTTCAATGCGTGTAGCTCGTTCTCGGCCTCTATGACCTTCTTCTTTAGGATCTCAACCTTGTCCATCATTGATGATGGCGGGGCAGGTTCAAAGTTGTGCATGGCAGCAGTCATCAGTCAATGACTGACAAGCCCATTTAGCGGGGTGGATGGGATCCCTGCACGCCTTATCGTCGGCCCCACAAGGGTGCCCCCCCACCTTGGAATTTTTGTCACTCGCAGGCCAAACTCCAGTGCTTCCCAAGTCGTCGGTAAACCTTTTTGACCTTCGACTGCGACCCTCGACATTGACTGAGTTGCCACTCGACTGTCTACACAATGGTACGCCATCGCAAGAAAGGAAAAGAAAAGCGCTGGCACTTCTGGAGACAATACTGACCATGCAAGGCTCCCACCGCGCCCCCAAAGATGTCCGCGCGCGCGGCGCGCCTCGCCCGCATCTCAGGCGCAATGCATCCCCTCGCACCCACCAAGACGCACCGCGCCGAAGCCAACGTGCCCGACGGCTTCCTCTCGACAAAAAAGGACAAGCGCGTCATGAAGCACAGCGGCTTCGTCTCCAAGATCAACCACGCCTCGCCCGGCGTCAAAGCCCTCAAGCGGCGCCGCCCCAACAAGAAGCTCGTCGCCACCATGGAGTCCCTCGCCGACGCCCTGCCGGAGCTGACGAACGAGGCGGACGGCAACGTCGCGCAGCTGCGCCAAGGCCGCGTGCGCCACAAGAGTCTCAAGAGCCGCCCGGGCGCGCTGAAGAGGAAGGAAAAGGTTGTGCGGGGCGAGATGGCGCGGTTCGGCGCCAGCATGGCTGCCCTCGTGGCGACGCCCGAGGCGACGGCAGCCGCGGAGAACCAGACCATGGCTGTGGAGGACACTACAGATACTCCTGCCGCGCCGGCACCAGCGACAACAAACCGCTGGGCAGCTCTGAGGCGGCACATCTCGACAACAATGGAGCAGAACCCTGCCTTCACCGGCCAGGGCGCCGGCAAAGGTTGAGGTTTCGGGACGGAGGCCGACCCATATCAACATGAACATCTTAAACGACCAAAGGAATCAGATACGCTGTCACTGGAAGAAAGCTAATGGTAGTGACGCACCACACCAGACATACAGGTAACCACGGCTATCGATGCTCTGGCCTGATCTGGAGTCACCTCTCTGATGGAACACGTTCTAAGGGACCGCAATCCAGTCCACAGTGATACAGAAAGGCGATGGCGGAGCAGGCACAAGAACCAAAGCGTCCGCTTCCTAGTCCCAAACATAGCATCGCGGTCACTATGGAAGATCAACAATATACCCAATTCGACATGTATTGAGTACAATGCGAGATATCAGCTGTTCACTACTCATGCGTGTCGTCGTTTCTTCTCATCCGCTCACTCGCGCAAAAGCAACTTGCACAACCGTTAACGCCTCCGAGAAGGATCCAGGTATCCTCATTCGCAAATCCCCGCCCGCCCCTAATTCGTCCCGCTATAGCTGGTTCATCTGATAATGCAGCCCTCGTGGTATGACATGAAGCGCGCTCTGCTGGCGCGGTCCAGACAGGCCACTGACTACGGTCAAGCTGGGTTCCTTGTTTTCCGCGGACAATGACCATGGTCACAAGGGCCTCTGGTCTTGCGTCATCAGTCGACCGACAGTCTTCAGCCTGTGTCGAAGGACGTCGAATGGCCATGTTGTACAGCAAGTGATCTGGCTGCCGTTCAGTCGTCATACTCCAGCTGACGTTGGCCGGGGTGCTATGTCTCCTCCCATGCCCAATATCGATCATTACTCGATTCGCGGCGGTGTCTTGGACGAATAAGGCGATGCGCTTCTTCTACGGGTGACGTGGTCAGCAAGCGGGCATTTGTCAAAAAATAAGCAAGGCTAAACGTACGATCGTCTCCTCTCGCCTTCCTTACGGAAACTTTCGATAATCTTTAACATCTCCTTCCTGCCACCGTGGCTGTCAATCATCTTATTGCCCATGCTCATGCTGACCTTCTCGCGGGCATTAGCGCTGAGCAGCCGCTTGACGAGCAGGTGGCGCATCAGGATGCAGACGAAGACGCCACAGTCAGAGCCGTTCTCCTGTTGCGGGCAGTCTTCGAGGTTGAGGAAGCGCAACGGGCGATTGAGGATCTCGGACATTTTGCGAGTGGCAAGACGGGCTTCCTGATAGTTCGCGCCGCCGAGAGAATCATAGTGAAACGCGACACCGTCAATAGCCGATACGAGGAGCAGGGACCAGTGCGAACCGCCCTCAGCCTGTGCAACGTTGCGAGCGTCGTTGATTGGAAGGAAGATGTGGGTGACCTTGGAAAAGTCAGGCAGCGCAGATCGAATGGCGCGCATATCGGGTTCTTTCATGAGGAGGAACGTCATGGAGGGGCGCAAAAGGATGATGCGGGCTTGCGGGTACTTGGGAAGCAGTTCGCGTTCGAGGTATCTGTCACGGTCAGAGGGGGGTACAGGCGGCGCCGTGGCGATGTCACGAACTCTTCCCAGAAAGCAATGTTCTACAGACAGGTTCGTTAGCGCCAGCATGACACGGTTGTTGGGTCGGGTAGCGCACGTTATCCGTCAACCAGTCATTCTTCAACGCCTTGAGATCTTCGTATGTAACTGGCGGCGGTGGTGAGCAACAGGAGCATGGACCGGGCGGCGCAAGGCCGGGCCCGACGGGAGCAACGTACGGGTTATGTCGTGGTCTGTAAGGCGCGAGAGTCAGTCAGGCGCCGCTGCTTGCTGGTTGCTTGTTGGAACTCTGACTTACACGACAGGACGGTTGAATGCGGCGAAAGCTACGAGCCAGTACGTCAGCCATTTGCTGCCAGTCTTTTGGTATGCGCAAGCGTAGCGATGCCAGAAGTCGTGATGCGACCAGACGGCCACGCTGCTCAACCTTCCGACTAGTGAAGACAGCAGCTACGTCGCATCGTCCCCATAGCTGTCTCGGTCCTTGGGAGGGGACTCACAGAGTCGCCAAAGTGGCGGGCCATTTTGCGGAACGGCATGGCGAGGCGCGACTCGGGCTTTGGCGGGCTCGAGTGGACAGGCGCTGCTGTGATAGATTCGCCGCTCGAAGTGCTCGAGTGTCGGCTGCGGCTGTGGCTGCGACGTGAGGGACGAAAGGCGAGGTCGGCAAAGTCGCGGAGACGGCTGCCGCTGGCACGACGTGGTCAGGCGTTAGAGATGATCGTCGATCCAAGAGGGGTTCGGAGCGCTCGGGGATCAACAAAGACAAGAGGGTGTATCCAGTGGGGAGGAACGGTAAATATGTGCAAGTAAATAACAGAACAGCAACTGACAAGGCCGAGCCGAGCGGTTGGAACAATGGCAATCAACAAGTCGGCGGGCCAAAAGTCAATGCAAAAGATAATGTCCAGCGGGGTGGAAGAACTGGAGAACCTGTGAACAGACCAGCCCTGCCCGTTTGGACTGGGGTTCAAAGGTTGGGATCTGACTCCAGCGACAGGCTACGAAGTGGAGGCAGCCGGTCCGGGTAGCCCAATGAGGCTGAGCGGTCTGATGTCGTCGTGGCTTGACCGCGCAGACAGTTGCACGGATGGGATACTGAGGGGCAGAATGTGGAGGGGGCTGATAGAACTGATAAGAGACTCAGTACACACCTTGGGGTGGTCGGTCGACCTTGGCTCTCAAGCATGTTGGGCAGTTGCGCAGGTTACTGGAAATCTAAAAGTGCTGCAGTGTGTGATATGAAGAGTATATAATAGGGTAGAGAAATGCAATGCAGGCACTGAATCCTGGGTTTGGGAAAGTCGTCAAAATCCGGGGTGACTGCCAACCTGGATTCCAGGTAGCCTACGTCACATCGGGTGGTCGTCGTGATGCCGTTGAATGCTGGCTGATGTGGCTGATGTATCGTGCATCGAAGTAACGATGGCAGCCAATCATACTGGGGTAACTTTGCTTCAGTCACAGGTTCTCCACTTTACCTTTGAATCCGCATGTGAGGTTTTGCACCACTTGTACAACTTCCTTCCCTGGTCATGTCGCGATGCTTTACAGTCCATGAAATATGGCTCGTCATCTCCGCCCAAGAATTGGGCATCGATTGCCCATCAAGGCCGGCCAAGGACGAGGCCTCCAGCTCCTCTCCAAGCTGTGATTTGATACGTCGTGAAGCTGACGGTTGCAGTGCCGCCGTGAATGACTCAACCGCCAGTATTGGAACTTCCTCGTGGGGCTGCGTCCCCTCGCAGCATATTGTTTGAGGCCACGACATCCTCCACAATACTCAGAAACGGGTGGCTGTCGCCGGCCATCTGAAGTTCTGGGCTTGTTTCTCGTCCGCGCTTGGTATCTTATGAAGCTCGTCTCCTCGCACTCGACCGTGGCCTCTAAAATTTCAGTTCTACTGACACAACACAAAGCCCGCGCTTCCAGATCAGGCCTTTCCAGGCAGCGCAAAAGGTTTGGTCGACAAGCTGAGGACACTTGCCAGCCGACACGCTGCGTGAACTGGGAATCGAACCCAGGGCTCCCCGATGGCAACGGAGAATTTTACCACTAAACCATTCACGCTGTGATATCCAAGGACAGGCCTCGAGTTTCTGGTGCTGGTACGGTCCTCGTGGGGGGGTTATAATTGACGCAGCCGTGGGGCGAGACGAGGAAGTCGAGCCCTAGCCCAGAAGGTCCACTCTGTCATCTACGAGACCAAGTCCTTACATATAGGCGGAGTATGCTTGCCAAACGTGTCATTGTGATGGTTGCACTGATGATTGTTGTATCAGCGCAAAGGCACCGACAAGAATCTCAAGCCTGGGGTGGGTTCAACATCCCGTTTGCTCTGTTGTGGTCAGACCGAGCCTTCGATCTTGGCTCCACGGACAGGAGGAGACTGAACTGGCTACCTTCACTACAAGAGGACAACAGGAGATGAGTACAAGCTGCGACTTATCTGCTTAAGGTTATTGGGTACGACCACGTGATAAGATGAGCTCCCTTCCTGAGCAACAATACTTTGTCAAAAGTCTTCCTGAGCCCAAGGTAGCCAGGGGCTGCTAAAGCCAGTCCGACTAGACCGTCACACCACTTCCGAGGTGTCTCCAAGGCTTACTTTGAGCCGCTGCAGGGCGTCAAGCGTTCGTTCAGCCTCTAATTTGCTGCTGTGGTGGGCAGATTTAGCTGCGTCCTTCTGACCCTTTTGTACGAGGTCGTGGATCAAGGTATCCATCTTGCGGCATCTCTGGACGAAAGTCAATCGGCGATTATGAAATGACAGCCTCAGATGTTGTCGCTCTCTTGCGTGGAGTTGCTCCAAATTCTCAGCTGCCTTCTCCCCATTATACCAGTATAATTCTGCTACATGGGCGACGCCTGGCCTTTTAGCCCCCAGTTGGTCCAAGAGAGTCTGTAGTGGTCAGCGTATGCTGCAAATGTATTATGGAACGGAACATACTTCAATGATCCCGTGCACCGCTGCAGGGAATCGGTCCTCAGATTGGAATGCAGCGTGACCTCGTGTAGGTATGTCCCGGTTCATAGTTCCATCGTTTCTCAAAATACCGTCATTACCATCATGATATCCTTCAAAGTGACCATGTAAATGGGGTGCGCTCACAGATACGCCCTGGAGCTGGCCTGGGATGTGCAAAGACTTCAAAGGTTTCAGATTCTCTCGATGGGCATCACCGCGAAGGAAAGCGGATATTCCGGCTGGTCGCCCAGTGTGCTTGTTAGATAGGGCATGCCAATCCGCTGATGTACCTGGTTGCGCAAGGCTTTTTTTGTACACGGCGTTCGAGTTATATGCCAGAGCAGTCAGAGTTGCTGGTTTTTGGAAACAAGTCAGCTTGTCTATTGGTTTAGCATCTGTCCGCGCGACAGGTTTGTTGTGTCGTTCCACTTCCGGCATAGACTCGGCTGGGTGGGTACAGCCAGTCGCATCCAAGAAATGTTCATAGTCTGCGCCCGAGGCTGGCTGTATACCAGTGGTCTCCTGTTGAATCGCACCGAACTCCGGTTGTATCTTTCTCAAGGGCTTCTTCCATGCTGGAGGCTTTTCGGCAGGCTGACCCTTCCTTCTCCGATCGTTGAGGTTGGGTGCTTTTTGGTTCGCGCAGGTCATAAACTCTTCGGGTTTCGGACTGCCACGCTCGTCGACCATGGACCTGGTACGAGACAGCCTACGCAAAGGTGCGCCGCACCCGCCAGCAGACGCAAGCTGCTCAGGCACCTGTCTGCTTGATGTTTTAATTCGGGTTGCGTCATCCATTCGTTGTAAGTCCCTTTCGTGATGATAGGTATCTAAGGTCATGTGGCCAATGTCGCTAGCAGAAACGGATGCCACTGTCGATTCCTGAGGAAAGCCCATAACGCGTTCATCTCGGGTGAGTAGAGGCTCTTGTGTAAATCCTTCGGATTTCCTGTTGTCAGTGACATCGTGCCCAGTCCCAATTTCGGTCGTCTGCTTGATAAAAGCTGCGCCGACTGGCGAGTGGTCTCCGTCCTCGGCCAAAACCTTGATGTTTGTCGCTCCAGAATCATCTACCATGCCAGGCGTTGGGATCGAATCCTGGTTCCGTTTCATGCGTTTGTTTTGGCCGCCCATGGAGGCAATGGCAATGGCAGCACGCTTGTTTGGTGATCTTTGACCTGAGCCCGTGAGAACTTTGGGGTTCGGAGCGACAACCTCGGCAGAGTTCATGGCACTCGTGGCGGAGCTCTCATCTGACGAGATGGAGATTGTCCCGTCGTGGGGTGTGGCAGCAGCGGCAGCAGTGTATTTTTTGAGATGTTTTCTCGGTAGTTTGGTGGACTCAAGGTCTGGTTGGACAGGGTTCGGAACGCGCTTCGCGTCATGGTCATGGCTCCGGTCGGCAGGCTTCGTCGCTGCTGTGCCGGCTCCAAGTCTCATTGGGCTCAGTTCTGCGTCGTTGCGAGTGACTTGACAATTTATTTTTGATGTAACAACGCGTTTCGATTTGCCCGTCATTTCCCGAAAGTCATTGTCGTTGAAGGCGTCCAACACCGAAAAGTCGCTTGGCAGTCTACGTTGCGATGTTTGGCAAGCAGGTGAGCTGGAGAACGTCGTCATTATCGTTGAAGGGTCGAGAGTCCCCAGCTTCAGCATGTGATCGGTCTCATTCGAATCAGGGCTAGATAAGACGTTACAATTGTGTTGGCTCCCTCTTTGCGCCGGTCCAGGTATACAATCTGAAGCAGTGGTTTGTAGCAGTAATGGGGTCGTGAGATCCGTATCGACCTGGCCCATTAGATCATTGTGCGAACCCACGATCTGTGTTTCGTCCTCAAGGGAAAGCAGACCGTTTTCAGGTAGATCGCGATGATTTTTGATACTCGGGACATCGTTGTTTTTGGCCGAGTCCCGGAATGGAGTCTTGGCTATCTGCCTGGGTCTCTTGCGCTGAACGGAAGGGTCGGTCATCTCCTTTGCCTTCTTGATCGCATGATGACGATACTCGGGAGGCACTCCTGGGTTCTGGGGTTGGTTTAAGTGCAGAGGGGCTTTCACTTGCGCCGGTTGGTTTGTATTTCCTGCGCGAGCGGCCTGTCCTTGGGTATCGGTGCCGGCATCAGTGCCGGCATCAGTAACTTCGGATTTTTTAGACATCGGTGCCTTCTTCGGTTTTGGGGCAACAACGGCAGGCTTTCCTTGACCGATCTGGTGACGTCCATTAGATCTCTTCTTCAACCCGTGCTGACTCTTTGATTTCTGCTCCTTCTTCTGCGAGTTCTTATTCGTTTCCAGGCTCGAGGACGGCACGAAGATATCGTCAAGCGCATCTTCTGCATCATGGAGGAAGGAAGCGTCTTCCGACTGCGCAGTGTCGTCAAAATCCATCGCCATGGTGTTCTGTGATTGATCTAGGGCGATCATCCCAGACTTCCTTGGGGGCCGGATACGCTGTGGCTCCTTGAGAGTGAATGGAGACGAACTCTTGCCGTTTCCCTGTTTGACATTGACAGCTTCAGATTGTTCGTTTTCAGGGGTCTCACCAAATTCACCCGCAGCGTCGTTCCAGCCCTGGCCCAGAGTGCTGTGTCCCACTGGGAGGGTCGATTTATTTTCGCTCGAATGTCCACTTCGCTCCGACGACGGGTTCAAAATGGAACCCGGTGCGGTCCAGTCGTCGCCCAAAGTCCTGTTATTTGAGCAGCTGTTGTTTAAAGCTGGCAAAGGGGCATCATCTTCGTCTGCGAGTTGATCTCGATCATCGATAGATCCATGAAATATCTGTAACTGGCTTGTGGGCTTGGAAGAGACTTTCCTGCCTCTAGATCTGACGGTGTACTTGCCAGAGGATCTTGCTCTGGCCATTTTGGCAAAAGGGGGCTGTAATGAGAGATGAATGGCTTCGACACTGTGTGATCAAGAATATTCAGGGCTTCGGTAACAGCCTTCTCGCCCTCGTTCATGCCCGATCGAGGTCGCTTGAAGCTTCAGCTGGGATGGCCCGGACTTGGAATGGAAGGATCGGTCGATAGATCATGACAAGAAAGCATGGCAAGAAAGAACCTGCATCCCATAGAGCCCGCCCTTGCGATTGCTCCCATTCTGGGGCTTAATGGCAGGTACAGCGGGACACGCACTCGCGAGGAAGGAAGCACTGACGGACGCACCTGCAGGGGACAATTGTGCGGATTCATGGACAAAGCTTACAGCAGACAGCTGAGATCCTCAACCTGAATCAGGCGAGAGAGACGTCGGCCGGATGATGATGCTCGTGCATCAGTCATTTGAGACTCTCGAGTTGAGAGCCTCAACACTAGCATATCAAGGTAATCGATGGCAGGTTGAGGTCGCCATGGCATGCCCATTGCACCGTCGTGTTCATCGGAGGGCACATGATTGTCGGTATTCACAGCTGAGCTAGCGATGCGGCTATAGTCGCTTCATAGGAAAACATACACCACCGCGCGGTGTCAATCTAGATGACGGGCTCAGTGATGGTGAGGTAAGGTAGGTAAGGTAGGTACCTACCTTAGGTAATTAGTGAAGGGCTCTCTTTGGGAGCACGCTTTGACGCGCCTACACCGGTGCTCACCGAGATGTTCCACAGTACATGGAACCCCGGCGTACATATCCCGATTTATCAGCCAGTGACAATTATCCGTCTCAGCCACGCCACTAGCATGTCCTCGTCATCAGGCTCGAGCCTGTCGTCTGCCGTTGGTCAACACTTGGGTTATCCAAAATTCAAGGCTCGCATGTCGACTTTCTGTCCACTCCATCATCAGTAGAGCGCTACACGAGCTTCGAGGGTGATTTCCCAGCAGCAAGTTATTGGCAGGTCGAGTTGTTATTGCCACCCCACCGATGGTCCAACCAGCAAGGGAGAGTCGCATTGCATCAACGAACTCAAAATGGCGTCAGTCCAGGAACCATGCAAGCTCCTCCGCAAATGCCGCGACGTAATGGCCAGGCCGCACAAGGCATACCCGCCCATCTCATCAATCCCCCGAACGCCAGAGGCTCGGTTACATGCCCCGCCGTCGACAGCAACCTCGGTCCTCTACCTCGCCTATGGCTCCAATCTCTGTGCCGAAACCTTTCTTGGTGTCCGCGGCATCAGGCCCATATCTCAGATTAATGTATCGGCCCCGACCCTTGATCTTGTGTTCGACCTCCCCGGCGTTCCATACCTCGAACCTTGCTTCGCCAACACCGCCCTTCGCAAGGTTCCCAAACTACCGGATCCGACAAACCCGCCCAAGGTACCACCCATCAACCCGCCCTGGCTCACCGCAGCCGAGGGAAGCGATCAACATGAAGAGAACGGGGTCGCGGTTGTACCATCACAAGATGCGCGTTGGACCAAGGGTTTAGTGGGCGTCGTATACGAAGTCACACCCGAAGACTACGGCACCATTCTTGCGACCGAAGGCGGCGGTTCCAGCTATGCCGATATTCTCATCCCGTGCTTCGCGCTGCCGCCTCGCATATCAGTACCTGAGAAGCCGCCCATTGATCTACCGAAGCCCTTCTTCGCACATACGCTCTTCGCGCCATCCATTCCCGAAGAGGGCGATGGCAACGAAGGCGACGCCACAGCAGGCGATGGTCCCAAGAAACCAGACGATCCACGAAATAAGTGGTATTGGCGTTTCATCCGCAGGCCTCACCGGGACGACCCCGCGTATTCGCAGGCCTCTGCGCGCTACCTCAAGCTCATCACCGATGGTGCGCGGGAGCACGAACTTCCAGACGACTATCAACGGTACCTGAGCAACCTGCAAGCGTACACGATTACGACGTGGAAGCAATCGGTCGGCAGGCTTATTCTGTTGTTTACCATGCTGCCCTTTTTCTTCATTGTCATTTTTGGCTCCCGGTTGCTGGCAGACAAGCAAGGACGTGTTCCGCTCTGGCTCGCCGGCACAATGGCCGTGGTACAGAACATGACATGGATGTTCTATGATGCTGTTCTGAAGCCCATATTCGGTGACGGTGAGAGGACGCAGGATAAGGAGGGCCACGGCTCGAGAGGATGGTGGAGGAGGCAGGGACGCGGGGCTGACGAGGAAACGGCTCGTCTGCTGGATTGATCCTCGTCAATATGCCGGGTCATGTGTTCAGCAGCGTGTGGGCATGAAGATTTAACTCGACCAGATTGTTTAGCAAGCCTAATGATGTGATTTTACCTGTTACCACTCTACACACGTGCCCCAGCTTGCGCTCGACGTGTTTGGCGACGTGTAATGTCCCTGTCTTCCAAGGGGCAAGCGATTGCAATAAGGCCTCCGCATGTCAGTACCGGTGCAGCGCTGTCCCAGGGTAGCGATACACAGGGCAATTGCGGTATTCAAGACCGAGCCGTCGTTCCCCGCATGGTCGTCTAGGGTCCCGACAACCAGGCAATTCAGACGAAGCTAATGATTCAGGATTCTGCAGCGCGAAGTCATGCGCAGGGTGTGTTCGCATCTTCGTCCTCAAGGTGCCCATGGGGTTGGACGGGTTAGCATTTCCACCCTACCTGCCAGCTTGTCTAGGTGCCTACCTAGGTAGGTAGGTCCTCAGCGCAAAGACGGTGATTCAGTGCCAATACATAAGGGCGGCCTGAGCCAACCCGACGCGACTGCATGATGATTTCTCGTCAACTTCCTGTGCTCCTGTCGCATAACAACCCTAATATCCCGTAAGAAGGGCTTATCTAAAGATGCTTTCTATAAACACTGGATGGAGGTGCACGCCCCTCTTTGTACAGACTTTATACTGCGACATGGTGTTGTTGAGTATCGACAAGTATGTCTCAAATCCAATCCTGACAAGCAACCCCCTGACCGGCACCAAAGTATCACACCACCAACGAAGCCAAGGCGCTCGGCGAGTTCATGGCGAACGCTGCTAGCCGCCCAATGCTGGAATACGACGGCATGAGCGATGCATATGTCAAGGATTTCAAGACATTCGACGGCGCTTTTCGGGACCCTGAGGCTTTATAGAAGATCCGGCCAGACGAGCTTGCTTTCATCGATGTCGAAAACCTATAGATGACTATTGGATACGATTGGCTTGTTATTGAGAACGGCAAGAAGTTGGTGGGACGTTCAATAATAGAGTAATGTGGGCTCCATCTGATTATTGGTACAACAGTCCATTATATAATGCGAATATCGACTTGCACTGTTTCCTGTCTCGCCCACGATCCTGAGTAGTCGCTGCTTTTACCTCAGCCGGTGGTGAGTTCAGGGTGAGCCAACACGGGATGTGGGCCAGCGTGTCTGGTTTCAGCCCCTGGTAATTGATAAAAATAGAATAGCCCTATAATAAGAACATCGTAGATAATTATTTACTATATATACTCTTTAATACTTAGTTTAATGAATTTAGAGATAGATAATATAGCATCCTATTATTAGTTGCTAGTATAGGGCCTTAGTTAAAGTTATCCTAGAGATTATATTAACTTCTTAAGAGTAATTATTCTAGACTTACTAAGTAGGAAACCTTTCGCTCTAATCTATATAGGAGCCTATCTAAATATTAACTTAATAGATAGTAAGCCCTACTAAATATATAGTTAATTATACTATTACTCTTATAGAATATAGAGTAATAAGACCTCTTATAGATTAACTACTCTATTCTACCTTATTAATACTATAATATTATAGGGTATTAAGGATATTATAGGAGGTATTAGGTAACGACTAAGAGTATTATTTAGTTATAGGATAAAGAGATAATAATAGATAAAAGGATAAGAGGAAAGGAGAGATAAAAGTAATTATATCTCGAGAAGGAGATATTAGATCGAGAAATAGATTAAAGATTCTAATAGCCCTTAATAAGAGCTATAAAATAATATAATTTTTATTTAAATTAAAGGTAAATAAGTAGAGGGATTAATTAAGAAGAAGGTTATAATTAATTAAGAGAAGTAATTAGATTAATCTTAATAAGAGTAAAGTATATCTTAGAAGATATCTATTTATAATAATTAAGAATATATAAACTAGATAGGAATTATTATATAAAAGGGATTTATAAATATAATTAGAATTAGATAATTATTAGATCTAAAACCCTAAAAAAATAGATTTAAAGGGTACCCTTTATATATAATAGACTAACCCCTAATAGCTATATATAGATAAGGTGCTTAGACTACCTCTAGACCTATAAGGGAAATAGAGTTAGATTTTAAGCTTTAGCTAATAGAGTATAAGAGAAGTTAATAGCTTATTATTATAGAATAGCTCTATAGAATATTATTAAAAGTATATTATACTATAGCTATAACCTTTCTCTTTTTAATAATATATATATTATTATAATTTAGCTTTTATTTTAATTATTAGAGTAATTATAAGACTCTAACTCCTATAACTCCTATATCTAGTAATTATAAGAGTACTTTTTATTATTAGATTCTAGTTAATTTCCTTTATTAATAGTATTTAGAAGCCTATTCCTATTATTTAAATTATAATTTAATTTATTTCTTTAAAGAGTTATTTATAAGTAATTCTATTATTCTAAAGTACTAGGAATTAGAGACTTAATACTTATAGGAATAGGGGATTTAAGCTACGTTCTTCCTTATTATTTCTTATTATTTCTTATTATTTAATGATTTACTTTAAAGCTAGAAGAATAGATATAATATACTAGAGACTAGAGAATTATAAATATATTAGAGTAACTATTAACCCTAATAATAGATCCTAATATTAGTTCTTATAGCTATTCTATTTATAAAGAAAAGAAGAGCTAGTATTAAACTAATATTAGGGAGTCTTATAATTAGGATAGTAATATCTATAATATCTAGGATCTATAGCTCTTAGGAGTATATAAGCTATAGCTTATATAATCGGTGAAGTAGATAGGTATATCTAACTTATATAGGTAGTAGTAACTTAGAAGCAGATAATTAAGAATTAACTATTATAAGCCTTATATTAGATACCCTACCTATTTAGAGCTCGTAAGTATAGTAGAAGTACTAGATTAGGGTTTATATAAGTAGTGAAGCCCTCTTAATATATAAAGTATAATCGATAAGTTTATATATAATAAATATACTATTTAGAGGATTAATCTTAACTTCTCTAGCTTTAATTATTCTATATTATATTAAACGTAATATTAATTAATATTAAAAGGGTATTATTATTTATATAAACCTTAATCTAGTACTTCTATTATTTTTACGAACTCTAAATAGGTAGAGGATATAATATAAGGCTTATAATAGGTATTCCTTAATTATCTAATACTATCTTTGAATTACTGCTACCTATATGGGTTAGATATACCCGTCTACTTTACCGATTACGTAAACCATAGTTCACATGCTCCTGAGAGCTATGGATCCTAGATATCCTAGATATCACTATCCTAGAGAATCCCTAAATATTAGTTCAATACACTAGAACTTTCTATCATGTGCAAGTGGGTCAAATACACGCAGAAGTTTAGGAGCTGTCGGGAAAACTATACGGTCACTATGCGCGATGTCACCGAGTACTGCAACAATCCCATGAAAGGCATTTTTTGCCCCGATGCAACCGAGGATACTACTCGTCTATATAGGTCTGTCTCTCTGAAAGGCCCATGCCCCGAATGCCCGTCGGTACGTGGTTGCTTGAAAAGAATACTCATCAGGAGCTAACCTAAGAATAGGGTAGCAAGTAGCTCACAACGTTGGAAAGGGAGGGTCAGAAGGGATTCACTCGCTGATGGAAATAAGCTGGCTTTCACTGTATCTCGTTGGCAGTCGTGTCCTCGCTCCTTAGAGATCCGGCTAAAGCCGCAGCTACCTCATCTGCGGTCTTGTATACTTCCTTCCAGCAATTCATAACAATGACACCAATGCCTATATTGTCGAGACAGGGGAATTTTTCCCTAGAATATCGTTCTTCCACCTCTTCATCTTGCAACTCTGGGAACGGTCTTGCCCACGCTAGAATTTCGTAAATAGCTGATCCAAGCGCGAAGAGTTCAATCTTTGCAACGGGTCGTTCATCAAGATCTCGTCCTCGGCAAGGCAGTGCGTAACGTGCTTCCTCATATACCGTTGGGGTAAACCCATCTCCTTCGACGGCTGAATCACCCAAGTCCCCTATCTTGACGCGAAGGCCGTCAAAGAGGAACAGGTTCCGGCAGCTCAGATCGGCATGCCGTACCTTGCATGAATGGATGTAGCTGAGGCCAACGGCGGTGTCCAGAGCCATCCGGATACGGGAGTGTTTGGGGGGTGCTTCGTGGTCCTCAATATATTGCCGGACATTGCCCAAAGGTGCCAGCTCGAGTCGAAGCGAGTAAACTAA